GAGGAGGGGGTGTCTGCCCCTGAAAGAACTGGGAGATCTTTGCCACAGGAGAGGAGGAGGAGGAGGGAGAGGAGGAGGAGGAGGGACGTGCTTGAAGGAGCCCCGAGGAGCAGAGGGGCTCTGGGAGGGATTCTTGCTCTACCTTGGCCACTCGCTTGCTGTGTGACCTGAAGCAAGTTGCTTTCCTTCTCTGGGCCTCAGTGTGCAAAACCAGAGGGTAGCCCAGTCTGTGGGCTGGAAATGGAGGAGACAGAAGAGATGGGGAGAGGCTGGAGTAGTCATCAAGGGAAAGGGGTCAGGGCGTCTTCCTTCAGCCAGGGGTCCAGGCCACTCCGTTTTGTTTGGGTCCTGTGGCCACTGGACACCCCGGCTAACAGCTACCTCCTGAGCCGGGACGGGGCCTTCGTGTGCTCCAGGTTCAAGGTACCCGGGAAGGCGGATGGCGGCCACTGGCAGGCCCAGGGCAGGGAAGAGCCTGCCAGGCGCTCATCCTCCCGGGAGGCCCTGGGAGCCAGGCCCACTGGGTCCCCTCCCCTGACCGGTGCTCTGGGAAGGTGACGTTATCTGGCCTGTGTTCCCAGTCGCAGAGGCGGGGGTCTCTCTCGCGTGGCTCCTACGTCCTCTGTCCACTCAGCGGACGGGGTGACGCCGGCCTGGTCACTCTAGGTTGTTTTCCCCAAAAGGTCAGGAAATGGGAAAGAAACACAACGTTGTTTATTTGCTCTCTGGTGCCTTTTGGACGCTGGGTCCTGGAGCAGCTTGTCGGGGGGCCGGCATGTTTCAGGCATTTGCGGCTCAGGGATGGGGACTCGGCCCCTGACTTGGGGCTGCCAGTCATCCCTCCACCTGTCGGGTCTGGGGGGCTTGGGGGAGGAGGACGCATGGAAGGTCTTTTTTGTGTGCTTTTTGCAGAGCCTTAGTGCTGAGACCCGCATCCTGGCGGCGGTGGCACAAGAGCAGCCCCGGGCGTGCACTCGGGGCTTCGGGCAGAATGCTCCTAGGGCCACCCCTGTGTCTTTCCCACCTCCCCAAATGGCGTGTCCTTGGCAGGTCGCTTCACCTCTGTGAACCCGAGTGGCTGCCCCCAACGAGTCCACAAATATTTACTGAGCACCGTCCTAGGCATCAGAAGTGACCGGTCCAAGTCCCTGCTCCCGTGGACACACAGCTGGGCCTGGGAATGTGGGGTGAGAGCGTCAGCCTGGGGGCGTGGCTGGGAAGGTTAATCCCGGTGGCCTCCAAGGGCCCCGGGGCTGGGAGTGACCCAAGAACTAGAGGAAGAGATGGTCGGGGACCCCACCCACGGCTCAGGCTGGGGCTCCAAGGAACTAGGTGGGGGGCTGGAGGTGGTGTGGGGAGCAGAGCCCCTGGGGAGAGCCCCACCTCCCGTGAACCCAGCTGCACCGAGGTCAGGGGTCATCCCCAGGACCCTGTCGTCTGGCTTTCTCGGAAAACCTCCCTGCCAAGGACCAAGCGCCTCTAATAGCTCGGAGCCTCTAAAAGCTTTGACCACAGCTCAGCTCGCTCCCTGCAAGCGCTTTGAAGCGCTTCCTTCGAACTTGCTTTGCATATTCTGGTCAGATCTGAATCAGACGAGCAGGAATTACCCTCTCGGTACAGTCTCGGGGCTGCCGGAGCTTGTAAGTGACGTGAAGAGGACGCCCGGGCCCGCAAGGGGGCAGGGCTGGGGAGGGTGGCGCT